GATATCCATATTATCCATGGCTTCTTAAATATGATCACTTATGAGAGAATTCCTTGTCTTCCATACTTGATGAACTCCAATTTGAGGCTTTACAAATATAAAAGTTAAATACATTGGTTATCCATTTAGTTAACCATTTTCTAAGTGGATAATATAGTTCTTTATCCATATTCGACCCGTTTTTAAATGATTCATTATCCAATTCATTTTTTAATGGATAATATGGGTAAATAATTGTTTTCTTTTAACCATTTTGCTACCTCTAATTCAAAGAATAGACTGATATCTCCTTATATAATCTTGGATAACTTTTACTCTACGAGTTAGTTTTTTAGATTGAATTAAATCTGATGTTCAATTTTTGTTAACAGGTAGAAAAGTCCTTAAAGTTCCAACGGATTTGATTTCTTAAAGTATCTGACCTTGCTTAGACATATATATAAGCGCAACTTTCCTTGGAAAATCTTTAACCCTCCATGTATCTATTTATTCAAATTAAGTGAAGTAGGGGACTGTGGACATATTAAGTGAAGCCTCCGGTTGAAGGTTGTATGATACATGCGTTAGAGATTGAAGTGATGTTTCAGTTGCTCTTAACAATAATGTAATTTTTGCTCTTAACAATAATGTAATTTCTGTTGGATATCCTGTGTTTATATTGAAGTCCGATTAACTCCAAATTCGAGTCAGAAAGTTCCATATTTGAGGGTAACATACTTCATAACAAATGTGATTCCATACTCATGGTCCGAACCTAACTTATGATTAAAGACGAAGGAATACTTATCACTCCACCAGAATCTTTATTGATGAAAAAATTGGAAACTCTTTGCTAAGCAATGACGCCTGCTTATTCTTGATCATCAGCAGATAAAAAATGAGTTTAGTACAAAATAATTCAATAGAGTTTTCGAGGACAATTGTAATTCAATGTAGGGGCGAATTTTTACTTTCATTATTGCATTAAGAAAGTAAAACAGATATATAGTTGACTAGTGCTCTTTCTTTCTTTCTTTATGCGTGTGTTTCTGTTTCCCCTTTTCTTTTTCTGATTATGAGATTAGGCAATAGTTTTGAGGTAGAGAATCACTAACCCTTCTTTCCCCAATCCTCTTTTTATCTATAATAACCGGCCATGTGAGATTTCTTTACATCATTGCAAACAAGAATCATAACATAAAATTCCAGAGCACTTCAACACGTGGCATGCCATCCAATATATATTTCTAGGATCCCTTCGTGAGCATAGAAAAGAAAGATTTTAGAGGACCTAAAAAAGATAAAATATTTTTTCCACTTTTCTTTGTCATAATATAATTTGATATTATCAAATATACTAATCTTGACTATTAAAAGAAAATATGTTCCTTATTGAGGTGTTTTTTTTAAAAAAAAAATCGAGAGCTCGACTCAAAATTTTCTGATTAAGGAGGAGAAATTTCATCCATTCTTATTACATTTCAAGATGCTAACACGTACGTTTAACTGTTACAATAAAAGGAAGTGACACAATTGGAGAATATATTTAACCCAAAGGATAAAATTTGCAAAAAGACAAAGGAACATTGATTAAAGTGGAATGAAAGTGGGCTAGGGAACATGATAAGAAAAAATTTGATTACTCCTAATCTCATAGGTTTTGGAAAAATTTTATAAAAAGTTTATCTTGGTGTGTCATACCAAACCATATATATACCTTTAAATCTTGCCATGGGGCTATGAATAGGAAAAACTTTTTGTGTTGACGGCCCTAACGTGGCTATTGAAGAAAACACGGCCGGCTTAGTGGTGGATTGCCTACTAGTTGCGCTATCATTCGTCTATTTCTCGATATTCGAATTCACCAATAGGAAGCTCATCATCACGCTGCTGATATGGCAAACCTTCTCTACGCGTCATTTCTCATATTTGCCTGTCACAAAGTTTCTCTACATGTCATACCAATTTGGTTCGTTGATTAGATCACCTTTTACAAAAAGGATATTTTTAAGGCGTTATTTGGTTTGAGGTATACGAATATTTAATTACGTGGATTACATAATATGGGACCAATAATAGGAAACGGTTTCGTTTGATACGATGGATAAACAAAAATAATTCTGGGATAAGTTATTTCAGAAATAAAAATAGTACCGGGATAACTTATACCTATCAAAGGATAAAATAGTAATCACAGGGTAAAGTAATAAAATTGACAATCGTGATTAATACTACATACCAAACAGTCAATAAGAAATAATAATAATAGGATAGTTAATCCCAACATAACTAATTCCAGTATATCGTATTTTCAAACTAAACAACCCCTAAAAGACAAACTCACAAATTGAGTATCGTTTGTAAGCACATAATTTTTAACCCGTGCAACTTTTAAAAATAGTATTTTAAAGAAATATTTACTTATTTTCATTTACATAGAATTTCAGTCAACTTTTAGTTTTAATTTTAAAACATAAGTTTAAAAACACAAAAATAGTTTTATANATATAGTTCACTTTAATAGTTTATTCTTTTTAATTAAGATTAACTGGTATATTTTGGTAGTATTTTTATTTTTATTTTTGTTGAATGAGAGAATTGAACTTTGGGCCTATTGGGAGCTCATTTTTGGATTTTATTGGCCCCACAAGACAAAGGTTCATTATTCCTAATCCATTAGCCCACTCTCCACTTAAGTGCAAGATTTAATCTTAGTAATCTATTCCCCTCCAATTTAATGGCTCATGTCAATTCTTACACCCATATTTAAACCCAATTATAACCAAACCCGAACCAACCTAAAATCTCCTAAGAGACCAAAATAAAAATAAAAAAGGACGGCAGCCATCTCCCTAGAAAACCACCCTTTAGATTTAACTATGTTCTTGCCCCCAAATTTAAAATGACACACGCATATACAAAGAAGAAAGGGAGAAACGGCCAGAATTTCCTTGACTGCCGCCACAAACCTCTCATTTTTCTAAAAAAAAAATGGCAGTTTCACACCTAATCCCAAAAAGGAAAACGAAGCCACCCCTCCCCCTCCCCCTCCCCAATTTTCCAAAAAGCTTTAGTCGTATCCCAAATGTGAAGAATTCAGCAACTGATTAGTGCATTTGGAAAAAAAGATGTATTACACCTCCAAGTTGTTTCGCCAGTAATGCAATTCTGCCGATTTGTATCAAAATTGGGGTGTTGAAGTTGTTTGAGGTCGCCGGCGAGGTTCCATCGAGGTTGTTGTCGTCCAAGGTTTCCGGTCTTGAAACATTTTCAGATTCAAAGAGCTGAGGTTCTTTCTTATCTCTCTGACTTATGAATCCCTTATTTGCTTTACTTGATATTGTTTTGAAATCTTGCTGTTTAATTGACGAATTTTATTTCCATTTTGAGATTTTGTTGTTCATGATCTATTTGCTATGACGTTAATTGACTGGCATGGAGTTTTTGGGATAATCTCTGTTAATAGTCGACTCGGGGTTAATCAATTAGATATTTGAATTAAGCTTCATCATAAGACTAAAAGTTTGACATCTCTCGACCTAAGTGAATAACTCCTTTATAAATTTTTTTTCTAGATTTAAATTTTATTCATATAATAGTCCTAGATTTGGTAAATATATGGGATTGCAATAGTGTTAAGCTTGGGATGAAATTTGTATTAAAGAGCTCTAGTGTGGATTTGAACACCAATTCATTAATTAAAAGAAGGCAGAAGTTGGCATCTTGTGACCTGATTGGTTCGTAGGGGTTAAACACTAAAAATAAGCAAATTATGAATATCGTAGCTTGCTTTAGGCGCGATTAATAATAAATCATCGTGACTATAGGTACGGTTCCCGTGACATAGTCATGATACCTAATCCCAATTCGAGTGCGCGTTTCACGCGATTCGACCACAACTTCGAATAATAATAAAAATCAACATGTTGTAGATCACAGGTGCATTTCACGTGACGCGATTCGTAATATGTACAAAAAAAATAAGTGTGCGACATCGCGACTTATTCAAATAAATTCCATAAATCGTAAAAGCAATTAACATTCTATTAAAAACGGTTAAAAAGTCAAAAATGCACAATATGTCTCAAATATATAATTAATCAGATAATTAAGCCAATTATTAATAGTTGAACGACCGTGCTAAAATTATGGAACTCAGGAGTGATTCACCCCTTCTCCGGGGTTAATGTAATTCCTTACCCAATTTTCTAGTTTTCGCAGACTTTAAAACAGAGTGAAATTTCCTCGATTTGGGATTTTAAAATAAACCGGTGACTTAGGACACCATAAATATTCCAAGTGGCGACTCTGAAATAAATAAATAATCACAATTCGATTAATGTCACTTTAATTAAAAAAACTCCCTATCCCTCGGGAAAAGGAGGTGTGACAGCTCTGGCGACTCTACTGGAGATCGAACCCAAAATGTCCGGTTCAAGATTCACAATTCGAGCCTAGAATAACTGTTATACGTGGCTTTTATTTATTATCTAATTTTTTTTATGTATTTGAGCCTAATGTGCTAAATGCCGCTTTTTACCGCTTTGATATTGTTTGAACCGTATATAAGTTGTTACGAAACCTTTCTTCTCTCTAAGTTTTCTAAATCTTCCGGGAAGTGCACGCTGGTGTGACTTCTTTTCTGTTAGTGTCAACACCCTAATTTAGAATGAGGATCGGATCAGTTACAAAGCCGGATGGCCTTTTGTTTACCGGTACGTCCCCCTCCCCCCCTCCCGGGCTCGAATTGTCCGCTCGGGTAAGCCAGCCAGGTCTAGAACAATACACTCAGGTTTTTAAACATAGAATGACATAACCTCATGCCGAATCCCTAGTAGGTACGTTTGTTTGCATCACGTGAATTTGATTTTGGGAACTCAATATAGGGGTTGGGTCTATCTAGGACAGGTGTACCCAATTTTAAAAAGACCATCCTGATGCATTTTACGTGTTACTTATGCATATATTTTCTTCGGCTTGTGTCACGACCCTAAACCCAAACCCAGTCATGATGATGCCTCTCGTGAAGATAAGGCTAGCCGACAGAAACTCCCAATTAAATTAACAGAAAATAATTCATAATTAAGTCATTAAAAATGATAATTCCCATAATAGAGTGAAATATATCAATTGCGGAAAACTAAACACAGCCCGACATCGGGGTGTCACTAGTCATGAGCATTTGTCAGAAGTCTACAAGTTTGAAAGAGTTTACACAATCTATTACATAACTAGGACAAGGGAAATAAAATAGGAGGGAGAATATCCTGCTGAGCAATCGACCCTCACTGGCGGGACCTGAAGCTCCGAAATATACACATAGGGTGCAGGGAGTAAAGTGAGTACTCCAACTCAGTGAGTAATAATAATAAATGTAGACTGAGCGATAAGAAATCACGTAAAAATACAACAACATGCTATAAGAAAGCAGAGTAAAACCAAATAAACGCAATAAAACAGTGAAATCTTATAAAACACCTTGGTTCAGAATAAACTTCTTTAAAATACCTTTTTCAACAGTTAAACAAGTAAATGAAAAGCAGCTAGAAAAGATAAACACATAAAATCCGCCCCTGGCACAACGTCAACAGAATCAGCCCCTCGGGCAATAATATGGATCAACACCAGTCCCTCGGGCTATATCTTATATCACAATGGGTACTCGCGCTCACTGGGGGTGTATAGACTCCGAGAGGGGCCCTTTACGGCCCAAGCGCAATATCAAGCCATCTCATGGCATAATCAATAGGCTCTCGGCCTCATGTCAAGCCACCTTGTGGCGTACAACTCAGGACCCCGGCCTTATAATCATAATCAGTACAACAATGTTGCGGCGTGCAGCCCGATCCCATAATAATCCTTACAACACAAGCCCTCGGCCTTACTCAATCAGAAATCTCTAAAAGCCACTCGGGCATAGTAAAATATGATGCTCAGCCCAAAATATCATTTAAAGTGTTAAAAATAGAGTAAGCATGGCTGAGTTATGAAAACAGTATAATATAACATGACTGAGTACAAATATAAAATCAAAACAGTGAAGAAATAGTAGTAAAAATCTCTTAAGGATCCAAATAGTTGGAACAAGGCCCGAATATGGCATTCAGCCCAAAATATGATGATAGCAAACAGTTTTAAATTAAATACACGGTAAAACAGTCATTCGGGATGGAGTAAGTCACAATCCCAACGGTGCACGAATCCACGCTCGTCATCTAGCGTGTGTGTCACCTCAATATAGCCTAACGATGTGAAATCCGGGGTTTCATACCCTCATGACAACATTTACAATCATTAATCACCTCTATCCTGTCCAAACTCTAGTCTGTGATGCCTTTACCTCTCGAATTGGCCTCCGGATGCTCCAAATCTAACCAAAATCAGTGCAAAACCATCAAAATATGCTAAGTGAACAAAGCCCACTCGAAAGAAATTAAATTACAACACAAATCCCGAAATTGGCCAAACCCGACCCCCGTGCCCACGTCTCGGATTCCTATAAAATTACATCAATAGACTCCTTATCACTCCCCGAGTTCATTCATATCAAAATTACTAAAATCCAACTACAAATGGTCCTTCAAATCCCTAATTTCAGGTCTCCAATTACAAGCCCCACTTCTTCAATATTAGGCTTAAATTCCATGATTAATTAGGTAGAAATCACATTAGGATTGAGTATTAAATCCATAAACCTTAACTCCAAGTGTTTCCCTTTGATTCCCTCTTCAATTCTTTTCAAAAAGCTCCAAAATCGCTCAAAAATGGTGAAAGTTAGACCTAAAATGGCGGACAATGGCTATTTAAACATTCTGCCCAGGCAGTCAAATCCTTCTTCGCGAACGCGATCAAAGCCTCGCGTTTGCGAAGCACAACCTGACGTTGACCACAAATTCCTCTTACGCGAATGCAACCACCCCCTCGTGAATGCAATGACTCCACAACTCAAACCATCGCGAACGCGTCTGCTCTCCCGCGAACGCGAAGCTTCCTGACTCTAACCCCTCATGAATGCGGGGCCTCCCTCGCGAATGCGAAGGCCAAACCTTCAGCCTCACACTCTAGCCCTTCGCGAACGCGAAGCACTGCTGTCTGCAACACTACAGCAGATGTTTCTGCAACTTTTCACAACTTGAAATGGTCCGTTTAACCATCTGAAACTCACCTAAGGCCCCCGGGACCTCAAACAGACATGCCAACATATCCCATAACATCATTCAAACTTGTTGCAACCTTCGGAATTCTCAAAACAATATCAAAACACCAAATTCGTATCGGATTCAAGCCTAAGAATTCCAAAATCTTCTAAATTCCACTTTCGATCAAAAAGTCTATCAAACCACGTCCAAATGACCTAAAATGTTGTACACACATCCCAAATGACATAACGGACCTACTGCAACTTCCAAAATTCCATTCTTACCCCTATATCAAAATCTCACCTATCAACCAGAAAACGCCAAAATTCCAATTTTGCCAATTCAAGCCTAAATCTACTCTGAACCTCTAAAACACATTCCGATCACGCTCCTAAGTCCCAAATCACCTCCTGAAGCTATCTGAACCATCGGAACTCACATCTGAGTACTTTAACACATAAGTCAACATCCAGTTGACTTTTCCAACTTAAGTTTCCTCAAAAGAGACTGTCTCAAACCTTACCAAAATTTCTCCGAACCCGAGCCAACCAACCCGGTAACCCAAAATACAGCTGAACAAGGCAATAAGAAGAATAAATGGGGGAAACAGAGTGATAACTCATGAAACAACCGGTCGGGTCGTTACATCCTCCCCTCTTAAACAAATGTTTTATCCTCGAACGAGTCAAGATACATACTTGAAGCCTCAAACAGGTGAGGATATCTGCTCCGGATCTCCCGCTCGGTCTCCCAGGTATCCTCCTCTACGGGCCAACCTCTCTACTGCACTTTTACTGAAGTTATATCATTTGACCTCAACTTTCGAACCTGACGCTCCAAAATAGCTACTGGCTCCACATCATAAGTCAAATCATCATCTAACTGAACCGTGCTGAAATCCAGCACATGAGATGGATCCCCAATATACTTCCGGAGCATAGAAACATAAAATACCGGATGCACGCTTGACAAGATGGATGGCAAAGCAAGCTCATAAGCCACATCCCCAATCCTCTGAAGCACCTCAAAAGGCCCAGTGAACCAAGGACTCAATTTACCCTTCTTCCTAAATCTCATAACACCCTTCATGGGTGAAACCTTCAACAGAACTTTTTCACCAACCATGTAGGACACATCCCGAACCTTCCTG